CAAGAGCTGGGAAGGAGAGAAAGAGATCTTAATGGGACTGATATTCATAAAATCTTTCTATGGCTTTATAATCACAATATGAAGTGACACTATGGTAGTACTGGGAGAGGACTTGGTGATAGAGGCCAGCCTGTGAGTTTGTTTGGGGTTCAGCTTAATCACTTTCAGCTCTTAACTAGAGAGCCCAGCTTTCCCTTGGGCTTAAGAGGTTTTTTACTGCTCCCCCCTGGCAGAAGCCACTCCTTATTGCATATCATAATTTAATTGTTGTATCATCATTTAATGGTTGTGATGTGCATTTACTTTACTGTATTCTTTCTCAAATCCTTTATTAAATTGGACCAGGCACTAAACAATTGTTATAATGAAGTTTAATGCGAAAATAAGTTTTAAACTTTTACCATTTATTACTCTTGTTGCTGAATGATACAAAGGTGTGATACCTGGTCTCATTTATGAGGGGCTGAGCACAAATAAATGCTGCTCATCTTCCCTTGTAAAATGGGTCTAAAGTTTTTAATTAGAGCATCATACCTCAGGAAGAAAGAATACTTGTCACTAGTCTTGCCGTGTATGTTGTATATGTTTTAGTATAGTGGAAAACACATATCAACTCCTTTCCAAAAGCAGATAATACAAGCATGAGTTGAGCAGAGCACTCATCTGTGAGCTCCTGAGCTCTTGAGAGGAGTGATAATGCTGAGAGGAGAGGTTGAGCACTCAGAGAGAAGCCAGACCACCTATTTTATATTTTAATGACACACATCTTTCCTTAAGATTTGAGTAGTCCTGGGTTTTCTGTACACACATTGCCCCTAATCCTCTAAACTCTGAGATGCACTTGTCAATTATCACCAGACTGGAAAGGCTTCTTCAGTGCCTTAACCTGTGTAAAGAGAACATGAGACTTTCTTTATGATTTTCTTCAATTATAGAGTTTGTATCTTGAACATTGGAGGTGGTAGCAGTGGGGTTGGGTCAGGCTGCCATAGAGGTCACAAACTTCCTGCCACTTTGTTGTAGGGTACTCAGATGACATTTTTTACTCATGCACCTGTTGGTTCTAGTGTTTCTCATGAGATGCAAATGGGGACAGTTGCTAAATGCTAAATTAGCTCATGAAGGATTGCTTAAGGTATTCTTACTAGGGAAGAGAAACAAAGAACAGAGCATGAGATTCCACGTGGGAAAAGAAGGGCTGGTGTAGAAAAAGAAGAAAAGTAGAGACAGGTTAAAAAGAGGAATTATATAGTCCTAATAATATGTCATCAGTCCTGCTCTCGAGGAAGGAATAAACCAAGTCTCCATTTTTTGCAAGGCTGACTCCCTCAACTATACATATCCGGAGTCCTAGAGAACAGGATTGTGTCTGTTCTTGCTGGTAAGTCAGCTTCTTAAGTTCAACTCATTTGAGAGTGAATATATGGGTTGAACTTGAGGACTAGTGAATCAGAGAAATAACTGCAGAAGTCTGATCTTTATATTAATCTATGTCAGGAATATTTCATTATTGTCAGGGAGAACACATTCACCTGTGAGGCATTGTGCGGGACTAGTATATCCATCTCTAGACCAGAAAGCCAAACCAAATTGAAATTGGGAAGAGAAAAAGGGGTGAGTTTCACAATGTACAAAGTAGTTTATATCAGGAGTTTTTTATAAAATGCTTAGCTGAGTACCACAATAGGGAGACCCCCTCCCCCATTTAAAACTTTCTTGAATATATGACAACATATATGAAGACAAATTATGTGAGGACAAATTTGAATACTAAGGGTGTTGGTTCTGAAGTTAGACTGTCTCTTCAGACTGACCCTTCAACCCTTCACCTGTGTAAATGGTACCTTAGAATATCTATCTTTTAGAGTTTAAGGGTATCTTGAAATGCCCTCATGATTTTGCATGGTAAGATAACAGGCATGGAGACAAAAGAGTTTATTACTTATTGCTTCCAAGAATGCGGGTTACATCATGCCATGCAGGACCACATGAGGAAGCACTAGGGTGAGTCAGAAAGCAGGAGGAGCAAAATGAAGCAAGGCTGAGGGCCTTTATTGTGGTTTCCATGGGAAGGAAGGGATGGGGCAGGGTAGACAAGCTTGAGCAAGTTTGGGTTTGGAGTGTTTGATAATTTTGGTAGGCTCTAGGCAATAAGAGTGGTCTCTAGTTGCCAGTTCCTGGCCTTGGGGTGAGTTAGGGCAGGGAGCATATTAGAGTGGTGCGTAACACAGTTGGATGAAGATTGTGGTTTTGGATATTGGTTAGTTTGCACATGAAAGGGGTGCTGAAGGCAAGTTGTTTACTATCTCTAGCAGTTAGCTAGCACTGAGAGGAACAGTCTCTCTACAATTAGCAAGCCTGGAAGATGTCCAAACATCATAAAATACAGAAAATAAAATAACCTGATTAATACGGGGTAACAATTAATGAGGTAATACATGTAACACATCACCAAAGGACTTGGCACATTGGATGTATTTAGTAATCATAAATTATGATTATATAGCATAATTCCACTTTCCTTTGATAACAACTTGTGATATAAAAAGATATCAGTAAAAGATGTAAGTGCTCTCTGTATAAACTAGCCCTTCAGTTCAAACCTATAGACACCTTAATATTTAGGTTGATTTGTAATAGAAAACACAGAGTTGGATCCAATGCAATAACTTGGAAAACTTAAAGCGGGGATGTGCCGTGATCTAACTGGTGAATTTTTAAAATATCACATTGGCTGTTGTATAGAGAATGTATTGCAAGTGTACAGAGAGGTAGCAGGGAGTAGAAGAGGGAAAGAATGATGGTGGTAGCAATGATGATGGAGAAAAATAGAGGTAAGGGCTTACTCTAGAAATATCATAGTGTTAAGGATTTTCTGGGAGTTTGGATGTGGGAATTGATAAAAAGAAAGAGATTGAAGATGACTCTTAAATTTGGTTGGTAACTAGGTGGTACAATTTCCTGTACAGGTTTAGAATAGGAATAGATTTAGAGAGGCAAAGTTTGAAAGAGTGAATAAAAAAAACTTGACGAGACGGTCAAATGGAGATGTCATCTTGGCATTTGGAGAAAGGAGTCTGATGCTTACAGTGAGAACTTAGGATACCACTATTGTCTCATCTAAAATCTGCTTTCAAGTTTACTGTCCAAAAAAAAAAAAAAAGGTGTAAAATTATTTCTGATATCCATGGAACCTGCATCCAAGATCTATAGACCCTCCCTGCCTTTGTTTGTAAGTTAGAGACTGACCCCCACGTCTTAAACTTTAGAACCTAAACTATTCCACTACTTTCAATGTGTCTCTTAATGTATTTCCTTTGCTTGGTCACAATGCACCTTTGAAAAGGAGATTCTAAGATTGTTTGGGATGAGGTCATGAAGTTATACTGTTTTTATGAAAATGCTGCTCACTTACCGTTAATGTGATTCATCTGACCCAGGTGACTTTCTTGTGTCTGCTCCAATTTACCAGCTAGGATCTATTTCAATTGAATGTTTTATAATGTAGTGGGTAAGATTATAACATGGGCACTGGATTCAGTTTGAATCCCACCTCTAAAACTTACTTCATGCAACTCTACATAATTTCCTTAACTTTGCTAATTCTTAGTCTTCCCATCTGTAAATGGAGGCATAGTTGTAATGAATGTATGACTGTTAAATGAAATACTGCGTGTAAAGT